GATGGACCCTGCTCCAGAACTGGCCCAATTGGGTGATCGCCAGCACGGTAAGGGCTTCCGAGAAAGAGAAGAGGAATGCTGCTATTGGTGACCATTTGTTTGTACATTATCTTTAGATTGTTGATCACTTTTTGAATATCGGTCGTATCAGTGTCCGGGCCGTTGTAACCCAGGTCGATAATGACCGGCGGCTGGTGCCGGCGTTGCGTGATTTGTCATACAGGGAAGAATTGGGATCAACGAGCAAGGCCGGCATTGTCATGCCGGCGGGAGTGTCCCAGTTCCAAAACGGCAAAGCAAAAGTTGGATCTCCGATAATTTTCCAAGGATTCTCTCGTAGAAGTACAAGTACCATCTGTGGAAGAGAAAGAAAAGCCAAGAATTGTGAATTTGAAGCTCAAGGTCTGTAAAACCGACTTGTTCATAGGCACCATTGCAATAAGCGCAGTGGACATTAGCTTGCTGTGTGAAGTTACGCGGGTCGTCTTCAGGAAGAGCCTTCATGAGCTCAATGGCTTTGGAAAACTTTGCTATATATTTTTTGCTCACTAAGTGAGCAGCTGGTCTAACACGCATGGTTTTACTTGGAATGAATGTGTGTGAAAAAGGGATACACAAATTAAGAGTAGAGCCCCGTATATATATCCAAAAATAATACAGAGTGACTTAAACATCCTTGTAGTTTAGGCAAAATATAAAAATCATAGTAAGGGTAAAAAAGGAAAAGAAATCCTAATAAACTAGACTATCTATACTCCAACACTCCCCCTCAAGCTAGGCGCAAAAATGTCAACTAAGCCAAGCTTGACAACGGAGTCCCGAAGAATAGACAGAGTGACAGGTTTGGTAAAAACATCCGCAACTTGATCACTGGTCCTCACAAACGATGGAGTAACAAGACCACTGCTGACCTTCTCCCGAAGAAAGTAAACATCGATCTCTATATGCTTCGTTCTCTCATGTAGTACAGAGTCAGAAGCGAGCTGAATAGCAGATTGATTATCACAATATAATGTGGATGGAGAGGTCACTGAAAAACCCAACTCGTCAAGAATCAATCGTAGCCAGATAATCTCACATGTGCCAAGTGCCAATGCCCGATACTCTGCCTCTGCGGACGAGCGGGAGACAACTGCCTGCTTCTTGCTCTTCCAAGAGATAAGATGAGTCCCTCGAAAAGCACAGAAACCCGTAGTAGATCGACCATCACATGCTCCCCCATAATCTGAATCTGAATAACAGGCTAGAGAACCGGTCTGAGATCCTGATGCATAAAACAACCCAAGTCCAGGACAAGACTTGAGGTACCGAAGAATATGATAAACTGCATCAAGATGAGGCTGACCTGATCTATGCATGAACTGACTAACTCGGCTGACTGCGAATGAAATGTCCGGCCTAGTATTGGCTAAGTAGATAAGTCTACCTACCAATCTTTGATAAACTGTCGGATCTTTCAACTCCTCACCTTCAGCAGTAAGCTTCAGGTTTGGAATCATGGGTGATGATGCCGGTTTGCACCCCAACATCCCAGTGTCTGAAAGAAGATCCAAAACATACTTTCTCTGAGAAAGAACAATACCTCTGCTTCTACGGACAACCTCAATCCCAAGAAAGTATCGCAGAAATCCAAGATCCTTCACATCGAAGGCCTTCCCAAGGTCTATCTTGACCTGCGCAGTCCCAGAAATATCATCACCAGTAATAATAATATCATCAATATATACCAGAAGGATGACACACTGTCCAGAAGTATTCCGTCGAATAAAGCAGGTATGATCAGAATGACACCTGGTGAACCCCAATCGTATGACTACATCACTGAAGCGAGAGAACCAGGCTCGTGGCGACTGTTTCAGTCCATAAAGAGACTTACGCAGTCGACATACCTTTCCAGCATACTCCCCCTCGCCACGAAAGCCCGGTGGTGCATCCATATAAATAATCTCGTCCAGATCACCGTGAAGAAACGCATTCTTCACATCTAATTGATGAAGAGGCCAAGAGTACTCCGCAGCCAGAGAAATAATCAACCGAACAGTAGTCAATTTTGCCACGGGGGCAAATGTAGCACCAAAATCACGACCTGGTACCTGAGTAAAGCCCTTCGCCACAAGTCTAGCCTTGTAACGATCAATAGTACCATCCGCAAGAAACTTCAGGGTGTAAACCCAGCGACAGCCAACAGGCTTCACCCCTGAAGGTAAGGAGACAAGATCCCATGTATGATTACGCTGAAGAGCGTCCATCTCTGTCTGCATGGCAAGAACCCACTGGGGCTCCCGCATAGCTTCCGAAATAGAGCGAGGAACCGGCGTATCTGATAAGGCCATAGTATAAGCTCGAAATGTGGGAGACAGATCACCATAAGAAACATAAGCAGAGATCGGATATAAAATCTTGGCGGTCCAACCATATCGATCAACTGGACGGCGATCACGCCTTGGATAACGACGCCCTAAATCACCATCCTCTACTGATAATATCTTATCAGGTAAAGTAACTGGCTCAGCACCTGTAATCTCATCAGTACTAACAACAGGTGCATCAATATGCTCAACAAACTGAGAAGTATTACCTGCATCGCCTGAGGTAGAGGGGATATCAGCAGGGTGATGAGAGCGAGGACAACGACATACACCTGCAAAGGAAGAGAGACTGGTAACTCTGTACTGACAGGGATGAGTGACTCCTTTGGAGGAAAAACGGATGACCCTGTAGGGATAGTGATCAATGACTCTGACTCTTGTGGTAATGGAAAATCAAAGGGAGTATCATCAACTGGAGGGGCAGACAAAGGACTGAAAGGAAAATAAGGAATATGCTCAAGAAAGGTAACATCTAGACTGTGATACATACGACGCCTAATAGGATCATAACATCGATACCCCTTAGATTGATGACAATAGCCCACAAAGATACAACGAATCGCTTTATCATCAAGTTTATGACGAGTAGGAGACCGATCCTGAACAAAACAGTATGTGCATCAAAAACACGAGGGGGACCGGAAAAAGTGTCCGCTCAGGAAATAAGACCTGTAAGGGAGCCTTATGCTGAAGAACACGACTCGGCGTACGATTGCACAGAAAGGTAGAAGTCAAAACAGCAAAATGCCAATAAGATTTTGGTACCCTCATGCCTCTAAGCAGACAACGTACCATCCCTATCAAACTCCTATTTTTCCTCTCAGCAACACCATTTTGCTCAGGAGTATATGGACAAGTGAGTTGCTGAAGGATACCCTGAGAAGAAAGGTGAGACACTAAAGCATCAGACACATATTCTTTGGCATTATCCGAACGAAGAGCACGAACAATGACATCGAATTGTGTCTTAATCATCTGTAAAAACTGAGTGATTATAGGGAGCACATCAGACTTCCTATGCAAAAGGTAGACCCAAGTACAACGGGTATGATCATCTATAAATGTCACATAATATCTGGCACCTGACAGAGCAGTAACGGAGAGGGTCCCCAAATATCAGAGTGTATTAGGTCAAATGGCTTGGGTGACTGGTGCATGCGAGGAATATATTGGCCCTAACATGTTTTGATAGGAACAGATAACGCAATCAAGTTTACCACCAACACAAAGCATTACTCAAAGCAGGAAACAACATACATAAATATTTAAAATTTGTATGTCCAAAACGGTCATGCCACAATTGAACAGTTTGTGACGAAAATCATAACGACAACTACTAGGTAAATACTAGCATGCAAGCTAGGAACAGAAAAGACAAAGCAGGTGCAGGTGAAGGAATTGGTGAAACTGGGAGATGGATTGCCAAGATAATACA